GGAATGCGGCAGGAGTTCGGCAGGTGTGCGGCAGGGCTCCAGCGCATGGAAACCAAGTGTGAGCTCTGTCCTCTGCCCTGTGGTTTTTGTCTAAATCTTTCCATCCAGCCTTGTAGGCTACAATGGGGCCTCTTTTGGGGTCAGAGGAGGGAGAGACCCTTTTCTCTGAACTTTCCCTCCAAGTTCCGCTTCAGTAGGCTTTTTTGGGTTTTGAACGGACAGTCCCGCTCTCCCGGGGCTCACATTGGTACACTGGTGGCTCTGAACGCAGATGAGCACACAGTGTGACCAGCACAGAGGTTGCTGCTGGGTCCTCAGGGAGTGGGGCAGAGTGACAGGTGCCTCCTCCCCCTCGGTTAGATCTTGGGCGGCTCTCTGCTTCTGCAGTACTGGGCTCTCCTTGCTGGACCTGGGAGCACACTTATTCACTTTTAGGGAAATAATGTTTTTTTTTGCTTGTTTGTTTTTGTGTTTTAGTTTCCAGGTAGTTAGTGTGTGTGTGTGTCCAGATAGAGACAGGTGACGGAGAGAGGGAGAAAGCGCCCACAGGAGACATGGTCACGCTGCGACCGTCTCTCCGCCTCTCCCCCCTTTCAGGGTTTGGGCATGTGTGCACCTGCGCCCCATGTGATTCTGAAGCCACCAGGGCTGGGATTTGAACCATGGTCAGTCATATGGGGTCTGATTCCCTTAACCACTAGACCAGGACTGGCTCTGGAAACATACATTTTAAGTATTTAGTTGCTTTTTAAAAGTTTTCTTTAAAATCGATTGAAATTGGAACCTATATGAGAAATTTGAATTTTTTTTTTTTGGAGAGGTTTTTGCTGTTGGGTGCATGCATTTGCCAGACAGAGAGTGAGAAATCACCCCCCAGGCTTGACGATGGTCATGCTGCAATCCCTTCTCCTCCATTCTCCTCTCGGGATCTTGGGCATGCATGCACACGCGCCAGGTGTGAGTTTAAGCCACCGGGTCCGGGACTCGAACCGCGGTCAGCTGCATGGGAGTTCAGCAACATAGCCATTACGCTAACTGCTGGTCCCCTGATCCTCGTTTTTAAATCCTTAGAAGAAACTCACTTCCTCGTTAGGATCCAAACGTAAGAACTTCGGTCTGAAACGATTGTTACCTTGAAAAGTGAAGGCCTTAGCACTGATAGAGAAGCAGGGACCGTCACGAGGCGATGCTGGGCTGTTCTGAAGGAGGGCGACGGGCCCAGCCATGCTGCCCTGAATCTGCCCAGGCGCTGCTGGGCACATTTCCTTCTGTGTCTTTAAGGAAGGTCCTGGGGTGTTTGGGCTGCCCCCTCCTGTTCCTTTGAAATCTGCAGCAATGCCATTAGTTACAGATCCATCCGTGCAGCCTGCCTTTGGCAAGGCCGGGTTTGTCCTGCCAGCACGTTCAGTTCCCCCCTCAGTGCAGCTTCCTGTCCGGCCCGGCCTGCTCTGAGTGCCCGTGCGACCATCCGTTTCCCACTCAACACGGTATTCAGTGAGCTACGTGAGGCTTCTGTTCGATGAGTTTGGCCAACTTTAGGTGAACAGAAGTGTTCTGAGCATGCAGCAGGTAAGTGAGGCTTAGCTGTGATGTTCGGTAGGTTAGGCGAATTAAATGCATCTTCGACCACGGGTATTTTCAGCTTATGGAGGGCTTATCAGGATGTAACCCATGTAAGTCAAAGAGCATTTCTGTGTGTGAGGGTCTCTCTTTCTCTGTATAATTATTTTTCTTTCCTTTAAACTCTGGTCAAAGGAATAGGAAGTTAAATGCTATGAAAAGGCCAAGGTAACTTGATGTTATTTTCATTTTTACTTTCATTTAAATTTTTATGATAAAGAGTGAGTGGGTGAGCCTGAAAGATGGAGGGGGACGGGGAGGGAGGGAGATCCAGAGAGAGATGCACTCTGACAGGGGCTCCTCATGCCTCAGTCTGCCCTCCCTGCTCTGCGGCTCCTCGGGATCTGGACTGCCATGCGTGTGACGTGTGCAGCCCGGGCTGTTTTCAGGCGAACCTGAGGATCTGAACCCTCGGTTGGCCAGATGGCTTCCAGCCTTGCAGGACTCTCGCGTTACCACTGTGTTACAGCGGCTGGGCCTGATCGTATTTTCAGTTTTACTGCTCTGGAATATCTAAGGAAGATAGATAGGTTTTATAATGAGACTACAGTGCACAGATTGGCTATTACTAGCTGGACTTCTGGAGAAGCAGTGAGTGATGATTTAGAAAGGTCATAAAACGGGGAACGCAAAAAACAAAAACAAAAACATGAGTACATTAGGATTCAAGGACTGCCTGACTCAGCTTGCATGGAGACGGCGGAGTTATCTACCGCTGTGTCACTGAGTACCCCAGAAGGTCACTGCTGACAGCACGGCCACTTACCTGGGTGTGGTCTGTGGGTCAGGAGATCCGGGCAGCCTCGCTGGGGCATGGTACTGGCTGGTGTGGGCGCCTCGGCTTCCTCCGCGCGGCCTCTCTGTCTCCCTGGAGCTCTCACCATCCCTGAGTTCACTCTGCTTCTTTCCTGACATCTGTCTTCCGAGAGGGAGCAGATGAAGGCCGGCCGGGGTCAGGTCGCCTCCCTTCTGCACAACTCTGTGGCCAGCGCCAGGTGCAGGCCGGCCCAGATTCAGGAGGATGGTCGTCCCTCGGTGTAACAGGGACAGAGGTGCACTTCCAGCTTTGGAAGTAGCACTTCAAGAGGAAGGAGGAGTCTGACAACCAAACTGGGACAGTATGTGGGGTTGGAAAGGTGAAGTCTGGGGGTTGTCAACGGCGAGTTTTGAGGGCCACCTCCCCCTAGCACACGCTGGGGTTACTGTTGACAAGCAATTCCATTAGTACTTAGAGGAGAAACACTGCCAGACTTTGGGGGACAGTAGCAGCCCATGTGTGTCTCGTTCTCTGAGGCAGCCATGATGAGTACAGGATAATGGTGGGAGGTGGCCTGTGAGAGGAGAGGCCTGGGTGGGCATCAGAATCCCGTCCCTGAGAGGACGCCCACCCCCACGAAGCTCTAGGTGCTCAGGAGGCAGCAGGGCTGAAGTCCCAGCGGGACCCAGGCATTGTTTACATTTTTGTTCCTGAAGTCAGTTTCTGCTGAAACTAGGGAGGAAGCTCTGAACCTTTGTGCTCTGGGCCCTGAGGCATCAGAGTGTCCACCTGCACTGGCTTGCTGAGGTGGTGTCATGGCAGGGCATCCCCCTGACTCTCTGTGGCTGGGAGCAGGAGTGACAGCCATGGGTTGGGGGGACACTCCTGACGTTCATGGGGCCCTGGGTGAGGGGACAGTGAAGGTCCTTGGTCTGTGTCCTTCCCCTTTCCTTCCCTTCCCCCATACGGGTCTGTCTGCTATCCTGAAGGGCTTTGCGTGAAGCCTTCTGGTTACTCCGGGGCTCCAATCCCAGCTTCTCCCCAACACCCTGTAAAGATGGTGCCCTGTAAAGGGATGCCCAGATAGCTGGTCCACAATATTCCTGGGTGTGCTTCTTGAGAAGAGTAGACACCTGATCCACCAGCTCCAGTAAAGAAAGTCCACTTTCCCCCACGGTGGGAGGTGTCACCTGATCCATGAAGGCCCACGTGGGAAGAAGAGGGCGGGATATGGCCGATTCTCTTCTTGAGCTGGGACATCTAGTTTTCCTGCCTTTGAATCACGGAGCTCCTGATTCTTGGGCCTTCGGACTCTGGACTTACTCCAGAACCCACACCCACCCGTTCTCCCCTTTCTCAGGCCTTTGGCTTCAGATGACTCATTGGCTGCACTGGTTCTCAGGCCTTGGCTTGGTCCGAATTACACTCCCTCTTCCTTGGTTCCCGTCCGCATGGGGCATTTCACGAGAGTTCTTGAAATGATGCGTTTCTCCACATTCGTGTGAACCAGTTCCTATGGATCTCTTCCTGTGTATCTGCATGTGCCCCATGACTCTGCTTCTCTGGAGAACTCTGACTGACACAGGAGGAGCCCGTTTGGGAAACATTTTTGAGGTACGTCCTACGAGTCTTGACGCCCATGTTCAGGGAGAAGTCACAGAACAGTGGAGTCACATGAACACCTCCATCCCCTGAGGCTGCGCCCCCTGGAGGTGAGTGGAGTGAGGGCTTGTTTTTCAAGGATGACTAAAGGGTAATGATCAGCCAGGGACGCATTTCTGGGGCCTGTGATTTCAGAACAGGTTGGCCTTGACCTACAAGCTTTGGAAAGTGTTGAATGGGGAAAGGAACACTCACAAAGGCTTGGCCGCGTTGCCGCCGTCTCCCTGATCCCTGCACTGAAAACACGACTTCCTGAACACCTCTCTGAAAGAGACTCGGCTTCCCGGTTGTCAGCCAGAAACGCGTCTCCTACACAGGCAGGCACATTTCATCCCGACCGCTGCTTGGATTAGGACATGGAGAAACAAAACAAAGCAAGCCTGAGCACTCAGAGCCCAGAGGGGCCCAGTCGGCCTGGAAACACTGGTTGTAGGGGTGAGGCCTGCTCACCCCCAGCCCCCAGCACGGCCCACAGCCGCGTGTGATGCAATGAGTGTGGCATTTGTTCTTCTGGGCTGTGTGAGGAGGCAGGTAAGGTTAGAGCAAATAGAATATAGAAATATTCATTTTTCCTTCCAAAAAGGGCTCTTAAATGTCAAATGAAATGAAATGAAATTATTGTATCGGGGCAGAGCGCATGTAAGTTGCAGATGGTGTAGCTTTTCTATGAATTCCCCCAACCTCACTACTTCCCCTTAGAAGCATTTTATTGACCTGGGCCAGTTTAAATAAAGTTCAGATACACTTATTAGTTGAGCAAATGTCATTTGCTAGCGTCTGAGCAAAACTCATTAGCTAACTGCTCCTCCCTCCCAGCCCCTGACTCCCACCTCAAATTTTTGGTCTGGCTATTCCTTGCTAGACTAATTATAAGGCTTTCTGACAGCCAGTGCACACGAAATAGTTCAGCTCCATGTCCGCCTCTGACACCTGAAAATGATCAAACGGAAATGCTTGGTGAGCGGCAACCAGGCATCGGCATTTGTGGGCAAAGCGGCTTTTGGAGCACAAAGGCTGTGGAGGGAACCGAGGGAGGGTGCCCGCCTGAGCTGCAGCCTCAGGAATCCCAGGGCAGGCTGCTCCCCCCCAGCCGGTGAGTGGGGGGCAAGGCCAGGAGCAAACATCCCGGCAGGGCCCCAGCACAGATGTTGTGATGTTAGGAGATAATTTTCGGCCTCAATGGGGTGAAAGGCTGGATTTGTCAGAGGGCATCCCTAGCGGGAGCAGCACCATGACTTCATTACCATGTCAATTCTGGGAGCAGGCCCTGCTTTAACACAACAGTTGGCTGAATGCTATGGAGCGGATGGACCCTTCAATGAATAGTGAATGGAAAACCGGCTGGAATCTGCCTCCAGCTTTGTTTTGGGATGACCAATGTAAGGGACCCCAGAGCTGTCGCACAGATGGTTGCAGGAGCTCCAGCCTGCCGGGAATCTCCTGATTTTTTTTTTTTAATTTAATCAATCACTTGTGGGGGTTTCCTCTGTATTCATACACATATTTCAGTTGACTAGCCCAATTTGCTTCGATCTCGTCTCTCCACTCTAGCAAAATTAGCTTTGGGGGGAATTAGAGATGAAACACAGTAGCATATGCTGCCATAAACATAAAATTTTTTTTTTTTTTTTAAATTGTGGAAGTAAAGGAGACTTAAAAATTGTGGAAGTAGAGGAGACTCGTTTTTATGTGGTTTAGAAGTAGTTGAAAATGTCATTAAGAAATCATGAAAAAGACAATGAAAAGTTTGAATGACAAGTTTGGAATTACTGCCGAGTTCTCCAGAGTGAAGGGAGTTTGCAAAGCTTCCATGTTTTCCGAGAGCGTGGCAGTGGCGTCCCGGGCACAACCGTAAATCACAGCACTCTGGTATTATCTGGTTTCCTCTCTGCTTTAAAAGTTGGAACAGATGTCACAAGAGGGGACGAAATGGATTTTACCCACCACGAGGGGCTTTGCTTGCCAGCCTTCGTAGGAGGCGCCTTGAAATGTTAATGTCCACAGTTTGTGTTGCCCGGTTTGCATAGAGATGGTGGGAAAGGGCTCTGATCCCGACAAAACCTTTTGTTATTAATCAAGAAAATCTGGTCCTCAGGAGCAGCAAAGAGCTGGAGATGAGGGAGCCCCTGGCAGTGAGGTGGTGAGCAGAAACGCTGGAGGATTCCAGTCTCCAGCGAGACATGGTGGCTGGGGTCAGGCGAGCTTCCCAGCCTCTGCTAAAAGGGGAAAGGGCGATTTCTCTTGTATCTTGTGCTTTAAAATTGCGTGTTTTCCTTTTCAGCGATCGCAAGAAGCAGGCTGGGCCAGCCATTAGAGCTCGCTAATGAAGTGCTGCTAAGAAAGGAAAGCTAAACACCACGGAATCAAAGCGGAGCATTTTGCTTGGCTAATGGGCTTGATTGTGAGATTTTACAGGCTCTTTTATAAACTTGAATTTTATTTTGTGCTGGGGAACAGGAAATTTCTGTTTGGTTTTAAACATACATGATCACACCACCAAATATTCCTAGTTTAAAACTGTGAGACTAGGAGGTTTTATGTCTCTGACAAGAAGGGGCAGGAACAGCCCTGCTAATGGCAGTTAACACGCAGAACCTCAAAGCCTCTTATTTTACAGAAGGGGAACAGAGGCCCAGAAATGCCGTGGGTAGCTGCTCTGTGGTCTCCCCTTTCCCTGGCTCCCATATTCCGCCTCTCTTACAGAGGCAGGCATTGTGCCCTTTGCCCTCAGGGGAGCCCACCTCCCCTAGAGCAGGGCCCCTCCTGGTCCCTAGCAACGATTTGGACCCTGTAATGCTTTGTGATAGGGCTGTCCTCCAAACTGGAGGATATTTAGCCATAGTTCTGTCTTCTCCCCACTGGGTGTCCCCTTCCTGCCATTGTGGCCACCAGAAATATCTCCAGACATCCCCTCCTCTCACCTGGGGCAACGGCCTCTCTGGCTGTCACCTAATGGGCGAGTTCCCCGCCTTGAGATTGTGGACGCCACACCCTGAACACTCTGATTGCCCGGTGTCCGCCCCCTAGACGCATGCCTGTGGAGGGATGTTGCTGGGAGCTCTGTGAAGGAAGGCAGGATCAATGCCCAACATCGACTGGTACAGTTTCCGCTCCCCAAAACTGGATGGTTCGTACTTTCCCTTTTCCTGTAGCCACTGAGGCCTAGGGAGACAAAATAGCGGAAGCAACAAGAAGAGGGGAAGCCTGGCTGGAGAGGCAGCACCCTCTCGTACCTGATGCCACGTGCCCGTTCTCGGGCATGGCAAGCCTAGCGCCATGGGTGACGCCACCCCGATGGCACAGTGACATGGCTGTCGTGGGCACCGGGCTCAGTCTCTGGCAATAATTTAAGATGCTATCTCGTGGTCATTGTAGGGACACCTTGTTTTCTGGAATAACGAGCCATTGGAAAGTTGCCTGTGCTTGGGGTGGTGCGAGTCCTCACGGATGTACTGAGCACTCTAGAACACTGGAACTCGGTGAAAAGATTCAGCGTTCCCTCACTCGCCCGGGTTGGCTTAGAATACAGCACGGGGGCAAGCATGGAATTCCAGTGGTCCCTCGGAAGTGCCGTGGACACCCTGCGATCACTTCCCGCAGGCGCTGTCCACATTCCACGCTCGAGAGAAGCGGGTAACCCATAAAGAGGAGGTCCAAGTGTGTGCGCAGGTCCTGGCACTCGAGGGACACGGGTGGGTGCTGTCTCCCGCAGGCTGCTGGGCAGAGGCTTCCTCACTGTGCCCACGTTGGGCTCCAGGACTTGGGGGTCCAGGGTGCCGGCAGCCCCGGCTTTGCCAGCACGTGGCTGACTGGGGCCCTGCAGCTGAGGGGACACCAGCGTTGTCACCCTGAGAGCCAGGAAGACGTTGGAGCTTTTGAAGTGGGTGGGTGGGAGAAGGAAGGGCCCCGCGTGAGCCAGGGCTGGCTTAGAGATAGCCTTGGGGCAACCAGCCGCAAAGAGGCTTCTAAACCACCTGTGTGCTTCTGTCAGGTCTTGGACGCTGCCTGGAAGTCTATCAGGTGGAGATTTATTGGGATTAACAAAAGTTGTTTTTTAAAAATTCACAGGCCTGCGCAGGAGAATTCGTGAGGGCTGAAGCTCCCAGTGTCATCCTGCGATTAAGGACTCGGTGTCCAGGGAGGCGAGTGCCTTTGCTGTGGTCTGGCCAGGGGTGGCAGGGCCAGCCTGATCCAGAGCCCTTGCCTATAACCCTGTTGCCCTCCTCCCTGCCTCCCTCTGGGGCTCAGAGAGGGGCTTGGGACCTCGCCCACACTGACCTAGTGGTGCCCTGGGCGTGGGCACAGCGGGCTGAGTGTGGGGGCTTGGGGACCCTGGGACGGAGGGTCGGACATAGCACGATGAGTGTCTCTGCTCCCCGCTCTTTTCCCAAAGCTCACCTGGTCTGGCGGAGAGGAGGGGACGGTCTCCCTGGCTCCCCGACTTCCTTGAGCTGGCTCTGTTCTGGGACTGGCGTGGATGGGAGACCGGCAACTCTAGGGACGGCATCTGTGCAGGCTAGCTGGGACCCAGCACAGCGTACACGTTGCTTCTGAGGATGAAAGCATGCTGCCCGGGGTCTGCTAACTCCACAGCAGTTTTTGGGACCGTAGCTTGCAGGTGAATGGGGCCTGGTGGGAGGAAAGGCCAGTGGCGATCGGCCCCCTTCCCGGCCAGCTCCCCCTATATTTTACCAATTTTAACTAAAAAAAAAGCACACTCCAAAGTAACTTAAGTTACTCTCAGGCATTAAGAAAAGAGCCTGCTGGTGTTTGGAGAGCCCCAGAATAGCCTCCCAGACTGAGTCTGCCTACTGGGGTGATGTTGGGGTAGAGGAAAGGCTCCGTTATAAACACCTTAGAAATAGCAAGGGAAATGCGAGGGGAGGCCGCCCAGCACTGGCTCCCGGGCACTGAGCCCAGGAGGAGTTCTGTGGGGTTCAAAGCCCAGGAAAGCTAATGAGAACTTTGTATTGGGGCAGAAGATCCCAGGGCGCCTATCAGAAAGGCGTGTTAGATGACCTCTTCTGTTTTCCACAGATTTAAAGAAACAGCTTTTAGAGCCCCCACAGGGTGCCAGGAGTCCTATCTCTGGTGCTGGTTTCTAGGGGTCCCTTTTGGGGGGCATACCGGAGTGCCAGGTCTGTGCCCACACAAGACACGAAAGGCTTCCTGGTGCAGGATGGGAAAGAGCGGCTTGGGGACAAAATCACCCAGATAATTGCTCTAGTCTGTGAGAGTACACGATGCCAAGAAACACTAGTGGTTTTGGGGGTCAGAGAGGGTGTGGGTGTGGGGCCGGGCTCCAGAAAGGCTATCAGTGAGGAAACAAGAGCCAGAGGTCTTTTCTGGATGGATCGGGAGTGGACAATCTAACTTCAAATACGGAAGCAAAACCAACCGCTGTACTTCAGGACGTTCTCAACCTCGTGTTCATCTGGGCTAGGAGGAGGTCTCCCTTCTAGTCTAGAAGTGGCGGTTTATGTAATTTCCCCATGCCGCCTGGAGGAATCAGAGATAAGACGGGGGAGACCCATCCTGGCTGTCCTCTGCTACTACCCTTCAGTGACCAGTGTCCACAACCTGCCTTGCCCTCCAGAAAATGCCCCGTTACTGACAGGGGTGTGCGGCCAGCAGGACCACACCCACTCATAGAGGGTGCTCATAAGAGGGACCTCAAAAGCTCATGGGAAACGGAATGAAGACATGGTGCAAGAAGATTTGAAATGTAGGCATGGTTTTCAGAGTGCCATTTTCAGCGAGGGTTTAGAAGAGGCCTCGCCACGCCTTGGCCTCCAGAAAATGCCCCGTTACTGACAGGGGTGTGCGGCCAGCAGGACCACACCCACTCATAGAGGGTGCTCATAAGAGGGACCTCAAAAGCTCATGGGAAACGGAATGAAGACATGGTGCAAGAAGATTTGAAATGTAGGCATGGTTTTCAGAGTGCCATTTTCAGCGAGGGTTTAGAAGAGGCCTCGCCATGCTGCTCTCCTACCCCACCCCACACTGAGAAAAAGACTCTGCACATTTGGGAGCCTCGGGCTGGGATGGCTGGCCACCAGTCCTTGCAGCTGGCAGGACCCTCGGGGACAGTCCCGCACTGCTTCTGTCAGGGCACGGAGAAGCCAGGAGAGCTCCTGTCACTGCGCGCCTCCACTGGCCTCCACTCATGCACCTGTTTCTCCGAACTGCTGAGGCCACGTGGGGTAAGGAGCCTCTTCCGTTGTTTTTTTTTTTGCTGTTCCTCACATCTGTAATGAGAAAAACCATGCAGTGAGAGCGAAATATTCCCGGCCGGCAAACCCGACAAGCCCAGTCGTGCCCTCTTGGAGAACTAGCACCCAGCGTGGTAAGGGTGCTCAGAGCAACCCTGGGACCGGGCATGGCGACGCCGACTGAGTGACAATGACAAAGCGCACATGAGGCAGGGCAGCAGTTCAGGGAAACACGGCTGGCGGTCGGGCTCTTTCCCCGGCCAATGCCAGCGCCTCCTTGAGACGCTGGGACCTGCCCCTCCCTCTCAGTCTCATGAAGTCTCCGACTGAGACAGTGGCAATGAAGGGAGTGGGTTCGAGGCTGGCTGCCCGCTGCAGAGGGAGCAGAGCCCGTCAGGAATGTGAGGAGGCAGCAGAACACGAAGTTAACGCCTGTCTCCTTCATGTTTCCGGAGACCAGTCTTCAAACCCTCGGTGGCATTTTCAGAACACATTGGCTTTCGCTCACTTGAGTTAGAAGCTCTGTCAGTGGCCTGGCGAGTCTAGGCATTGGAAGGGGAGCGGTGGAGCGGGAGGCGGAGGCAGGGAACCTCTCCTCTCATCAGCTGCCGCAGGGTCTTCTGAGCAGTGAGTCTCCGGAGTGGAGCCCCTGACTGCTGGCCTCTCGGGGAGGAAGGCTGGTCCCAGGCCTGGCAGAGCTTCCCGAGTCTCTGATCACACTCTGTACAAGCGTCTTGATGGACCGAGCCAGACCTTCCAGTAGGGAAGAGAGGACCACTGGCCTTGCCCTCTGCATTGGCACGGGGTCTCTCCTTGTCTGACAACAGCTCTGGGGCAGCCTCGGTACCTGCCACGCCTGCCAACTGTGCCCCGCGTGTCCTTGGCACCTGCACACCACCTGCCATCTCACGGGTGAGACCCGAGGTTCTGGATGACGACCTGCTCGTGGTCCATGGTGAGCTGAGACCCGGCCCCGGGCAGGCGGACCCCAGAACCTCAGCTCTCACTCTCGGCTCTGCCCACCAGGCTCTGCGGACTGAGTGGGAACACAGCGCTCTGTGCGATTGAAGTGGAGGATTCCTCGCTGCGTAAGACCACTTGGTAACAATGGGTAAGGTTCAAGAACGTATTTGTTTTGCAATGGTATATATATTTTAATTATGCAATTGTTTTAACACGGCAAGGTTTGCCAGTGATTCCTTCATTAAAAAATATATAGGCCCTGGAACCA